AAGAATTTCACAGAGCTTATAGGCCAAGGATAATTAATGTTACAATATATTATATCAGATTAGCACAATAATCCTAAAATATTACCATGCTTAAACGTGTATAACTGACTGGGGAGTAATTATACTCAGTGCAATCGTGAACACAAGAAGGCAAAGCCCTGACCTTCAGGTTGGAAGGACTGGAGTAAGGACATGAGCGCTGTGTCATTTTGAGGCTGAGATTCAGATAACATATAGAGATGGGAAAAGAGACACATCTGTCACGTCTTCCAAACTGAGCTGAGGGACATCTGCAGCTACTGCCACCATCTCACTCTAGTACAACGGGAAAAACGGATGTAAAAATAGAAGTGATATATCCAACTATTACCACTGAGGCAAAACTGAATATAGCAGTCTGCAGAAGCATTGATGTAGAATGGGAAATGGCTCCTTCCAGGGCAGGCTGTCTGTCTCAAGTGGACAACGTGCCAACTAACTAAAGATTTTCCCACCATCCATGCCATCCCCGATTTATTTATTTCTTTCCCCCAGCTTTACTGAGGTATGACTGACAAATAAAAACTGTATATATTTAGGTTACACAACATGATTTTTTTTTTAAGCTGGACATCGTAAGAGATTAAGAGGAGGAGAAAAGGGATAAGGTTACAAATTAACTGAGAGCAAGTAATACCCTCCTGACAGAAAAGTGAAGGAGCCCATTTGTACAGAAGAAGATGCCTCCCTGGGAGTTCCTCACCTCACCATGTGAATTATCTCCTCTTTATTAGACTTATGAAGAGGCTGAACAGTTATGTGCACAACAGGCAAGAATTTTAATGAGAGTGCTGGATGAGGGACAAAGATAGCATAAAAAAAGCTGAGGGAGATTCTATACCCAGAAAATAACTACCCTTGTTTCCTGTGTCACCTCTGCTCCACTGGGGGGACGTTGAGAGCCTGTTCAGTAGATTCAGTAGAGCAATTAAGTGGAAGAGTCTTTATTACAAGAGTATCCATTCCTTAGTAACTAAAAGTCCCTAGATGAATCTTTTTGTTATTGTTGTTTGACCTTTGTTTTCTAAATTGAGATATAATTCAAATACCCTAAAATTCACCCTTTAAAGGGTACAATCCAGTGGTTTTTAGTATATCGACAAGGTTGTGCAACCATCACCACTATCTAATTCCAGGATATTTTCATCACCCTAAAGAGAAACCCTGTACCCATTAGCAGTCACTCCCCATTCTCCCCTCTCTCCAGCCCCTGGCAAGTGTCAATCTACTTTCTGTTTCCATGGATTTACCTATTTTGGATATTTCATGTACATGGAAGCCTACAATATATGGTCTTTTATGTCTGGCTTCTTTCACTTAGTATAATGTTTTGGATATTCACGCATCTCATAGCATAGCATGTATCAGTTTTCCTTTTTATGGCTGAATAATATTCTATCATATGTATATACCATAATTTGTTTATCCATTCATCTGTTGATGAAAATTTGGGTTGTTTCCAATTTGGGGCTATTAAGAGTAATGCTGCTATGAACATTCATGTATAAGTTTATGTGTGGACATATGTTTTCATTTCTCTTGTGTATACTCCTAGAAGATGAATTGCTGGGTCATACGGTAACTCTAAATTTAACTTTTTGAAGCATTTTCAGACTGTTTTCCAAAGTGGCTACACCATTTTACATTCTTACCATCATTGTTTGAGGGTTCCAATTTCTCCACATCCTAGTCAATGCTTTTTATTATCTGTTTTTGATTATAGCCATCCTAGTGGGTGTGAAATGGTATTCATTGTGTTTTGTCATTTAAAAAAAAAATCAAAGCCATCCATAACATAGTTTAAAAAGACAAGACAAAGTGTAAATGTCCCATCTCTCTCCACAACCATTTCCATGAGGCAAATACTTTAAATTCTTTTAGCAGTTTCTTCTGGTATTTATCTTCTCTTTCTGATAATATGCTTATACTGCTATTTTTTTTAATCAGTTTTAGATATTCTCTCTCGAGGTCCAATTATGGAAGATGAGCATTTAGTTCTCTTATCTTCTTTCATGTGCGCACAAATATACACTCACTTTATCCTTCCATCTTCACAATATGATTATAATCTCCATTTTTGGTTAAATCAATAATCGGCACTTACATTGTTATGACTATGCATTCATAGCCATGTGATATACAAAGATATATTTACTTAATCATACTTTTTCCCCTTAGATTCCAGATGACCTAGAGGAAAAAAATCTGCTTCACTTTTTTTTCATTTCCTCAGTTTTCTACATATTAATTACTACTTCATCCTCAAATTCTGCAAGAAAACTAAAAATTTCTGGGGATAGTTAAACACAATGGATATTCCACTATTTCCCTCTTTTGCCATTTTTTTTTGGTTTCTGGGAGACATTCCTTCCAGAGCCCTCCACTCTCCTGCTCTCACCTGGACTGACTGGTTATGGGTTTGCTGCATAGCTATTGTCCTGGAACTTTCCTTCGTTATCCTTGACTTCTCTCCTATGTCGCATCGCCTGCTTTGGGGATCCCATATCTTCCTCTGTTTTAGTCTTATCCCTCAGTTTACAATAGCATATCTTCTAGTAGCTTCTTTATTCCTCTATTACTTCATTATTGCTTTCTTCTTTTGTGTTAAATAGATATTTTCTACTGTAACATTTTAATTCCCCTGTTCCTTTTAGTTTTTTTTTTTAAATTTCTTGTCTTAGTAATTGCACTAGTGATTCCAATTAACACCTTAATTTAAAACAATCTAGTTTAGATTAATACCAATTTAATTTCAGTAGCATACACAGTTGTTTGTGGATGCTTTCATGCCACATGGCAGAGCTGAGTAGTTGTGACAGAGCATGTATGCATATGGCCCGTGAAGCCTAGAACTTTACTGTCCGGCCGTTTACAGAAAAAACTTGCGGCTCTTGATCCAGTGCCCTGATCTTCCTGATCCCATTCTCAATCTCCTGCCTGCAAGCATTAAGTGATCTGTTCCTCCTCTGAATGTTCACTGTGTTCCACCTTTCCTGAAACCTAAAAATTAAGTACAAGTGCTAAGAAACCAAATAAAAGAGCAGAAACCAGTATCAATAATGTGTGAAAACCTCCTTGGTGCGCATCGCTGTATTTAAGAGGCTCACAGTTGTAATCCGCCATGATCCGTGAAATCCGATCCTTCAACATAAAATTATTTTGAGGATTATTACTACTGATTCAAATTTGAATATTTCCAAGGCTAGTTTCTTCATCATTTAGTCCTATGTCCAAGCAGTGCACTTCCACACCAGTGTTCTGTGGTGGGCATGGGTTGTTTTGTCTGACCAGCATCCACTTCCCATCCTCTGATAAGAGTTCTTTGAATTTTATTTGACACCAGGTGGGGACACGACGTGGGGCACAGTGTGGGCAGGGAGCTGCCAGGGACCACCGCCTGGAGGGGGCCTGCCTGAGCTCAAAGCCCACTACCAGGCAAGTAGAGACAGGGAGAGAACGAGCGAGTGAGTCCTGATGACGCGGTTTAGTGTCTGCATTCTGCCCTACGTATGTGCACCAAATAAATCCCTTTTTCTAGGTAAGCCTGTTTGAGTTGTGCTCCTGGTGCTTATGAGCAAAAGGAGTCGTAACTGACACACATACTGAAAGCAGAGGCCGAGCCACTTCTGGGTAGCCACGTGGTCCAACAACTTCATGAGGACCCTTCATGTCATTTTTAGGAGGAGAAGAATAAACTCTTCCGCTTTAGTTCAGGACCTGGAATAGTTTTAGTCTAATGCAGGAACGATTTCAGAACTAATAAGGAACCTCTCAAATTCAGGTTACTGTCCTTGACAAACAGAAAAAAACTAATCGTTTCAGAAATAACTCAATATGAAGAGAATAACACCACCAAGTACAATATATCAAATACCTGATAAAGCACATTTTGAAAGGCAATCAGGATGTAATTTCATGTTATAAAAGCATTCCTTCCATTTATTTATTTTTCAAGGCACATTCGTATTCAAAACTTCATCAAATCCCCGTAGGCTTCTTTTTTTGATAAATGACCTACATTTTAAAGTCCTTCTAAGCATAAAAACCAAAACATATTTTATAAATAATTATATATCAGTTGCTTATAAATAAAAAACCTAAAATTTTTATTCTTCCTCAACTCTAGTTTCATGTCCTTGGCGTTTACTTACTTTTCTAGTCAGCTCTTCTGAATTCTAGGCCATAAACAAATAATTGTTATTTTCTCCACTTTAGAGGAAGCCTGAGCCTTTTTTCTAACTTGTTTCCTTTTCATCCCTGCACTATGGCCGTGACTTGTCCACTTCACCTGCTTGTCCTCACCAGCACCTTGCAGAAGAAGTGTCTGTGGAGTCCACAGGCCTAGTTTTGAACTCCCAGCTCTGTTACTTCCTAGCATCATGATCCTGAGCAAGTTTCTAAATCTGTAAAATGAGGATAACAATAGCACCTACCTCATATAGTTGTCGTAAAGATTAAATGAGATGTACGCAAAATAGACACAGTAAGCCTGCAGTAAATGTTAGCTGTTATTTGTTGGCTAAAAGAATGAGCTCTGCTATCCAGTGCTTCTTGCTGTTTCATTCCACCTGAGAGGCTTGTAAGACCCAGTGATGAGTTCATTGTCTAAAATCTAAGCCCCATGAGGGCAGAGACTTTGTCTTGTTCATCACTGCAGCCCCAGCACCTAATATACGGCTGGCATATAATACATATTGAATGAATGAAACAGGTATAATTTTACCGATATTCCGATTTTAAGGATGAGGAAACAGGCTCAGAGAGGTTAAGTGACTTGTATAAAGTTCCACAGTGGGTTAGAGGGGGATTAAGATACAGTTCTCCTGCCTGGTTGTTCTTCTCTTCTACCATATCACTTCCAGGGGCCTTTACCTCATGATCCAAAAATTCAGTTGCAGTATCTTAGTTACTAAATGATGATTTTCAAGGGCTAAAAATGATTCTGAAATTTTAAAACCTACCGTGGTATCCACAGCCTTGACTTTCTCTGTGGGAATGTGCTTTGGGACAGGTTGTGTCTGTGACAGCATCACGCATCCTTCGGCACCTAAGGTGATGATTACGACCTGACAGCCCCTTTCCATGAGCACCAGTGCAGCCTTCCCAGCATCCGCAGGGCTGCCAACCTTGAGGCCAGTTAGAATCTCAGCCTGGAACAAACAAAAGTGAAAGGAAACAGTGCTGAGAAAAGTAACCTGGGTTCCCTTCCAGGTTAGCTTTGTTTTTCTAGAAAATCTCTCCCGTCTTTTGCATAACAACCAATGCAATGGGGAACTTTGATGGATACTGGCTCAGGAAAATAAATTAAAAAACCAGTTAACGACGACAACAAAAACAAGCTATAAAAGACATTCTTGGGACAATTGGGGAAATTTGAATGTGGCCTGGATATCAGATGACAGTATAGAATTATTGATAATTTTCTTAGGTGTGATAATGGTATTGTGGCTCCTCTTAGGAGATGTATGTTGAACTGTTAAGGGGTGAGGTATCATGCTATCTGCAACTTACTCTCAAATGATTCAAGAAAAACAAAAACAAATACATACAAGGGAGAGGGGAAGCAAGATAGCAAAATGTTAACAACTCTTTAGGCGCAGAGTATGTGAGTATTCATTGTACGGCTCTTTCAGCTTTTCTGTGTGTATGTATGATAATTTTTATAATAAAGAGTTAGGGGGAACAAAGAGAATTCCACGAATGAAAGAAAGGAAGCCGAGGAAAGGAGAAAGGAAGGGTCATTGCCATGGCTATTGCCAATGATTTTGATATAAATCATACCCGTAAATTTCACCCCTAAGGATCTAATTCTTCTAGGCCTCTCTTGGGCCACAATGCCTTTCTCATATTGCTAGTTATAGCTTTCCATGTGCACACCATCCATTTCCTTTGTTTGTTTGTTTTTGCTAGAGAAGATGGAAGCAGAGTAGGAGAGGCACTGATATGTAGTGGAAAAAGCAATACGCTGACATTCAGGAGACCTCCACCACTCACTAACTCTGTGATCTTCCCCAAGTCACGGACAACCTGTAAAATGAGCAGCTTGCGCAGGACCAGTAGGTCTCTCCTGGAATATAAAAACTTCTCAGGCTGAAGTAGGGGTGAAGGGCTGCAGCCCTGCTTCCTCATCCCCTAGGCACGCCTCCAGCATCTCTGGGGAACCTCTATCATTCTGAAATACGTGGTTGAAAAACGTGGACTAGATGAATTATATGATACTTTTTGACTCAAGAAGTTTATAACCAAATTCTGTCTTTTCTGTATTACAATTTAACCATATACTATCTCTTACTAAGAATGGGTCTATCCCTTCCTGTGCTTTCCTTGAACGTGCCCAGATTAACCCCTTTTTGTTGCCCTTTATAAATCATCCCACAGTGTCTGCTCATCCTGGACTTCAGTTTCATAAACTTGACTCACAGCATAAGTAGTTTAATGGAGAAGAAAGAATTATTGAACAAGTAATTTGAGCTGTGATGAGTGTTTAAAGAATAAATACAGTGCTCTGTAAGTATCTAGCAGGGAAATCTAAGCCGGTTTGGCAGTTGAGGGTAATCTAACCTCTTATTGTGAAATGGTCACTATCTCCCACAATTCCTTTTTCCTAGCACAATGCCTGGCCATGGTGGTTGCTCAAAAATATTGCATAACCTATTGTGGTTTGTTAAAATTAGTTTCCTTGTAGCAGTCTTCTTTCTTGTTTACTTTATGTTCTGAGAGATTAAATTAACAAAAAGGCAGGTTGGGAAATCCTAGAAACCTTCATTCAGTCTTTGAACCAAATGGAAAATTACTATTATAGTTCATTAATTACTAACTTTCTCTCTTTGCATCTTGCATTGTATAATATGTTCTGCCTTCCACTGTTAGGAGAGAGTTCTGGTCGAAAACTGTCTGGTCCATAAAAGGGAGAAATGTTGAAATTTTCTTCCTAAAATGCTTTAGAATGACTGGCACAATATGAATATATTGGTAGATATTTTATGCAAATCTATGCATTATGATCCTCAGATAGACTGAGAGTGGGCTTCTCTAATGGAGTGCCCTCCAAGGTCTTTCCCATGGCATCAATGGAGAACCTATGTCTGTCCACCAGTGCAGTCACAGGGTCTTCAAAAGAATGTAGCAAATGCTCCAGGGGTTGTATATTAATTAGGTTTGCTACATAAAATATAGGATATCCAGTTAAATTTGAATTTCAGATAAACAACAAATAATATACTAAATGTACTTATACTATAAAATTATTTGTTGTTTATCTGAAATTCAAATTTAACTGGGCAATCTGGATTTTTATTTGCTAAATCAGGTAACTTTAATACTAACTAGTCCATAGAATATGTAATAATTAAAAAAGAAAATAACATACCAAAAGTGTGAGGGCAGGGAAGGGACTAAAATTAGCTAAGGTTTGATAAGAGCTACATTATGGGGATGACTCAGGGAATCCTTTTTTTTTTCTAGGACTCACTAATTTCCTTTTCCTCACACCCTAGTCAACTGAAAAATCTGTTTTTACTGGGCCCAAGAATTGACATGCAATCAAATTAATGTGGTTAGTCTTGCCTCTTTGTTTTATCCACTTGCATGAGAGTCTTTGGTTTTCCATGAGCAAAACCTTGCACCCTTACCTCACTTTCATTGCAGCAGAACACATCGGAGAGCGTGTAGAACTGGGGGTCCAGGTCAGCAATGGCAGGAGCTGGATTGAACAATGTTTTCACTACAAAGGAAGGGAAAAGGGGTACAGTGGTTATCACTGTTAACATCGTACATTTACAAACATTCAGTAATGAAAATCCCAAGTGCAACCATTTTTTCCCATTAGATTAAAAATCAATTTAGTTAGAAAAGTCTGAAATCTCAATCTCCATGATAGCCTAGTACCAACTCCCTCTTATTTCCATTTTCTCTACTTTTCACTTTAACACATTTCAGCTTCAAGGGCAAGCATCAATATTTACAACCAAGGTGATTACAAAGTTATGGCAAAGGGCAACAAGAACATTAAAGAAAACTGTAAATGTTGTGGCATGAAAAGACATGCATGAATGTGAACATTCAAGCTGGTGAACATTTTTGTGGGTTACTTTAAGTGCTTAGTTGCTAGGCTAGTTCATAAATCCATTTTCCAGGAAAGAAAAAAGAGGTAATAGAAAATAAACAATGCAGAGCTCAAAATTTTCCTGGTAAGAATAGTTAAGTAGGAAGTTCATTTACATCTGCATATTTTGAACACCTATGTACATCTTTCCAAATATATCACAGTTACTCATGCAAACATACACACACAAAAGCTTACATTCTTGGCTTCTGTGAGCAATCTGGGAACATAAAGGAAAGATTGAGAAAGGGGGAGAAATTCAATCAGAGGCTGAGAGCTAGCTCAGACTAGGAGACTACAGGAGGAAGATGGATGGGGATAGCAGAAACAGGGAAAATGAGAATGTTACAGCCATTACAGTGTCAGAAGTAGTGCATTTTTCAGAGGAGGAATGTGAGCCTCAGAGAGATGAGGTCACAGTCTAAGGTCATCCACTGGGACATAGTTCAGCTGAGTCCCTACCCCGAGTCCTCTAGTTTTAAGTCCAGTGCTTGGTAGTCTCTAAAATAGTTGCTCCTCTAGGCCAGGACTCTGTCCATAGCAACACAAGCCCTGAATTTCAATTCGCAATATTATAAAACTGCCTTTGGTGTGGAACTTTGTAAATATTTTTTTGAAAATCTTTAGAAATTACATTCACAGAAAGCTCCCCCTTTCTCAAAACACTTACTTATCCACCAAAGTACCCAGCTAGATTGGTTGGTTTTGTTTTCTTCTATCCAGGTCCACTGACTTATGTGTTTAGTAACCCCAATTTATTACAGACCCACAGGGTAAAATCCTCTAGCTGCAGTTCTCAGAGACTCAGAACAGTGGTTCACAAAATTGGCTGCACATCAGCATCACGAGGAGAGCTTATTAAAATGCATGATTTCTGGGCTCCACCTCAAACCCACTGAATCAGAATCTCTGGGGGGTAAGATCAGAGAATGCACACATTGACAAGTTCTCCAAGTGGCTCTCTCATGGCTAGCTTGGCACTGATCTATTCCACATTCTTGGGGAGATGTATTCAACACTTGGCTAATGGAAGCTGTCCACTACTTCTGCCTGGTAAGGCTAGCTAGTCTACTTCTGTACGTTCCTTGGTCTTATTTAGCATTTTCATTTGGTCAGTGGATCTTGTCCAGTGGTTTACAGACTAACACTATTCTCACATTTTCATTATTTTAGAATCCAGAATGTCCACCCACAGAAATTCTATGGTATATTTTTGGCTGCCCATATTTTTGCACAGGGTTGTTGTGCAGCTTAAATTAGAAAACGGATGTAAAAGCCCTGTGTAAACTGTAAAGTGTTGTACAAATGCAAGGGATTATTACTGTCATTATATTGTCCTTTACACACAGCCCAACACCCCTGCCTGTCCACCCATTTCTTCTGCCCTCTGTTGGAGTTTGTAGCCTGGCAACAATCTCTCTCACTGGTTTTGCCACTTCTGCAAGGTCTTAGAGATGTCAATTATGCATCAAGGCCCTCACTGCCCAGCATTCCAACACACCTATTTACTTTTTAGGTTTTCAGAATGAATATATTGTTCCCTATTTTCCTTAAACATTAAACTGAAACACCATTGCTCACCTAGTATGATCCTCAAATCTGCAGTCAGCAGCATTTGAGCACAGGTTAGAGGAAGCAACCAGTATGGAACAACAGGGTAGAGCCTTTCTTCTTATGAAAGTTCTATTTTATCTCAAAAGATCCCCTGATCCAGCAATTCCTTTTCTAAACCTATCCTACAGAAATACACAGGCATGCAAAGATGCAGTACAGTTATGTTTATCCAGCTCTGTTTGTAACAGAAAAAACAAAAAGGAACCTAAGTATCTATCAGAGAGGATTGGTTAAAAGAATTATGACATATACGTCCAATGGAATACTCTGCTGCTGTTAAAAAGAATGAAGCAGATCTGTTTTGTTACAGAAAGATTTCTAAAATTTATTTATAAGCGAAAAAAGTCAGTTTTATAATAAAATCTATAGAATGATCCCTGTCCTTTTTAACAAAACAAATAAAACATAACTATATGTGTATTTACATTTATACACTTACATAGAAGAGAAAAAAGTCTGAGAGGTTACTCACTGAACTAAGTGATTAGTTACAAAAGGCTGATGTGAATAAATTTTACCACATGTTAACTGCTGCACACCATGCAAAAACATCATTCTTAAAACATTTATAATATCTTACATCAAAAAACAAGTACACTGTGAATGAAATGATATAATGTCTGGGTTTTGCTTCAAAATAGTCCAAGGCTCCAGTGGGGGGTGGGGAATAATGAGATGGGGTACAGATGAAGCAAGATTGGCCATGTGTTGATAACTGTTGAAGCTAAATGACAGTATATATGGGTTTACCATATTATTCTCTATAGGTCCATACACATACTTGAAATTTTCCACAATAAAAACGAATTTTTTTTTAAATTTTTTGTTTATTGCAGTAACATTGATTTATAACATTGTATACATTTCAGGTGTACATCATTATACTTCTATTTCTGCATAGATTACATCATGTTCACCACCCAAATACTAATTACAACCCATCACCACACACATGTGCCGAATTATCCCTTTCGCCATCCTCCCTCCCCCCTTCCCCTCTGGTAACCACCAATCCAATCTCTGTCTCTATGTGTTTGTTTATTGTTGTTATTATCTACTACTTAATGAAGGAAATCATACGCTATTTGATCTTCTCCCTCTGACTTCTTTCACTTTGCATAATACCCTCAATGTCCATCCATGTTGTCACAAATGGCTGGATTTCATCGTTTCTTATGGCTGAGTAGTATTCCATTGTGTATATATACCACATCTTCTTTATCCATTCGTCCCTTGATGGGCATTTAGGTTGCTTGGCTAATAGCCAAGTCTTGGCTATTGTGAATAACGCTGCAATGAGCACAGGGGTGCGTGTATCTTTACGCATTGGTGTTTTCAAATTCTTTGGATAAATACCCAGCAGTGGAATAGCTGGATCATATGGTAGTTCTATCCTTGATTTAAAAACGAATTTTAAAGAAACAATTACATTGAATTTTAAGCAACAATTGCTGGAATGAGGAATTCTACAATTTAATTTGACCATAAATATTGTATAAAAATCAATCAATCTATGCAGAAATAGAAGTATAGGGCCAGCCTGGTGGCTTAGCGGTTAAGTGCGCGCGCTCCGCTACTGGCGGCCTGGGGTTCGCATCCTGGGCACGCACCGACGCACCGCTTCTCTGGCCGTGTCCCACATACAGTAACTAGAAGGACGTGCAACTATGATGTACAACTATCTACTGGGGCTTTGGGGGGAAAGAAAAAGGAGGAGGATTGGCAATAGATGTTAGCTCAGAGCCGGTCTTCCTCAGCAAAAAAAAAAAAAAAAAAAGAAGTATAATGATGTACACCTGAAATTTATACAATGTTATAAACCAATGTTACCGCAATAAAAAATAAATTAATTAAAAAATTTTTTAAAAATCAATCAAATCTTATTTGTCTGTATTTTACCAAGGGAAAGCATTTTTACCAATAGTAACTAGATACATAGGCTTAGAGTCTGACTAGTAACTAAACTTAGGGGAAAGAGAAAATGCCATAAAGAAAGGCCTCTCTTTGACTCATGCTACCATAAACAAGCATAAATACTTTACCATGATGAAAGAAACATGAAGAATTAGTAGATGTAGTTAATCAAAGAAGAAGGCAAATTTGTAATAGACAAGATGGAAAAAAATGATGTCATTCTGGAACCATGTGAAACTAGAGAGCACAGGATGTACTGTGGAGTAACTTGGGGCTGCAGAGGTGATTGATAGCACCCAACAGTAATTATTATTCATTACAATGTAAGACAGACTAAACTCCTGGATGTCTTAACGGCATGTCAACGGCGGGCACAGTAATGTCAATGAGGAACTGGTGAGGCCTAGGGAGGCAGCTGTATAGGCACAAAGACAGGAAAATGAGGTGGAAGCTCTTAATGATGTCACCATGGAGGGCAGGGCCTGGACAGTTAAAAAGGCCTTAATAACTAACACAGAGAAACAGGGGAAGGAAATCAGCCTAAGTTAGGAAACTGGGAAGGTTGGAGTACCCAAAACACTGGCTTGGCAGTCTCTCACTCTAGGGGTTCTTCTCTGTGACGTGAGCAGCGAAAACACTCAAAGCTTGGGCTATGTGCTGGACAATGTTATTGTGAAAGTCAAGGTGGCCAGCCAAGAAGTTTTGTTTGCCAAATGAAAAAGGACTAAAGTGGCACTAAAAGATATTTTGTATCCTACCTAGAATTTAATCTTGGCGATCTTACAATCTCAATTATTTATAACTGTTCCTGTAATGTTCCATTTGCTTTGAAATAGATATAAAGACCAGAACCAACATGCATAATTTCATCACAAGCAGCTGCAGCACCAGCTCTGCCGTGGGCCTATCTCACAGCATCGTGACCCACAGGAGGGGGGCTATAGAGGGCTATAGATTCATTTTTGCTGTTGCAGGTGCTGTCTGTTTAAAATCAATGCTTTCCTTTTGGTAAAGACAGAAAGAGATTTCTGAGACAGTATATTCATACACGGAGGGGAGTCTTTTTCCTCTGTATTTTAACTACTAATATACAATCTAGTTACACAATGTGTTTAATTCAATCTTCACTACTTGTAAGTACGTAGTACAGATAAGGGAGCTGTGATAACAAACCCACAGATGATGATGATGACGATGATGATTTTACCATCTGTCTTGTAGATGGAATAAAGCTGAATAGCACATATGCAGCCTCATGGGGCAATGGACAGGACACTCAGCACTCAGCAGATCTTTAAGCTTTGCTCGCTCTGCTCTGGATCAGTCTATTCACAATAACGTGACGTTAAAGAACTGTGAGAACTCTCAGCCCAATTCTCTTGTGTCCACAGAAGAAGAAACTGAGACCCAGAGCAAGAAACTGACTTACTTGCATGAGGTCCCCCATTTGCTAAGTGATTGATTCTGAATTCAAAGCCATACTTCATGACTCCCAAACCAGTGCTCCTTTCATTGTACCACTCTTCTCTAACATGAGAATGAAGATACATTAAATTCTCACACACACACACACACACACACACACACACACACACACTCATGGTACAGAATCTAAGCTGTGTAACTACCAAATCTGGCTGGTAACAACTAAATGGGGACCACCTGAGTTCTGGACAGAGGAATGTGTGTGCATATGTGCTTGTGTGTGTGTTTTATGGGGACAGGTAGGGGACATGTTGCTGAAAACACTCTAGGGTCTCGTCTCTGTGACTTGAGCAGTAAAAACGCTCAAAGCTAGGTTACATGTTGGCCACTGTGACAATTCCTGGACTTTACTCTTCTAGAGATACTCTTCATAAAGGCTCAGTTCCTTGAAATCACTGGGATGTGGCAGTTTCTTTATTTGAAATGTGGTCTAGGACGCAGAACTTGGGTCTTGGGAGTCTGAAATCCTGGTTCCTACACTGACCTTGGTTGAGCTAATTACTTAACCTCTCTGAGTCTGTCTTTTTACCTTCAATCTGGGAGAATAATGCCTGCCATATCTTTGTCATAAGGTTTTTCTGAGCATCAAATATATGTGAAAGTGCTTTATAAGCTGTAAAGTACACATAAATGCAAGGTATTACTACTTCTAATATTACTATATAAGAAAGATCATGCAGAATTAATACTTAGACACGCTGGCTATTAGTAAAAATGTGAAGTAGGCTAGGCTGTCTTTGGCCCACCATCACCTACTCCCGACTGTGTCTGATGCCCTAGGTCTTTCAGCTACTCAACTGGAAGAACTGCCAGGCAGGTGATGGAGGAAGCATTTCTGGACCCCACCCAAATGACAGCCCAAGGTCAGGCTGCCTCCCCATCCAGGTAACTCTAGCCTCACCTGTGAAAGGTTAGATCCTCAACTGTGGTGGCTGTACCTTTCTCTCCTCCACAAGCTGGGTACAGGTAACTAGACTAGGACAGAGGAAACAGTGATCTCTGAGAAGCAAAGGATAATAGGAGGAAAAGAGAAGTTACATGAGAATATGCTTTGACCTCTATAAAGAAAGACAGGAGCATGAATGAAATGGCATGTTGTATTCACATCACCCAATTACGATGAGTGCAGTGCAGAGCATGCTTACCATAAGTATTAGACTTTATCTGGGACACCCCGAGAAAATGTAACCAAATGGGTTTTGGCTTAGAATTCTTTCTGACAGCTTCAAGACCATTAAAAATACATTAAATGTCAGTGAGAATTTGCCACAGCATGTTGTTTTGCCAAGAGGAAAATTTGTTAAATCAGGACATACATTTTAAAATTCTCCACAAAATCACTTCAGTAACTTATTTTCCATTTATTGCTATGTAGAACACTATACAGTTTTGGGAGAAATCACTTATACAAACACACACACACACACACACACACATACATTTACTGTTCTTTTTCTTCTCTTTCTTTTTTTTTTAGTTTTGTATCTTGATGAGAAAGTTTTATCTAGAAAAGTCAAAGTGGTTCTCTATTTTCTTCTTAATATAAATCACAGAACTATGAAGAAGGGCCGGCCCCGTGGCTTAGTGCTTAAGTGCGCGCGCTCCGCTACTGGTGGCCCGGGTTCGGATCCCGGGTGCGTACCGACGCACTGCTTCTCTGGCCATGCCGAAGCTGTGTCCCACATACAGCAACTAGAAGGATGTACAACTATGACACACAACTATCTACTGGGGCTTTGGGGAGAAAAAAAGGAGGAGGATTGGCAATAGATGTTAGCTCAGAGCTGGTCTTCCTCAGCAAAAAAAGAGGAGGATTAGCACGGATGTTAGCTCAGGGCTGATCTTCCTCACACACACAAAAAAAAGAACTATGAAGAAGCTTAGAGAGGCTACTTTTTATTTTGATTTTTTTGATTAAATGGTGCTGAGATCAGGATATTATCCTAATTTTAAAGAGAGAAGTGAAAGGCAGAAGAAAATTGGGATTTACTGCAACTTACTACACCATGCTTAGCGTCATATTTTATTTTATTTCATTCTTACAACAATTCTGTAGGGGAGTATTTCTATATGCATTTAAAGACAAGGCTCAAATAACAAGGCTTGTTATTTGCTGGGGATGAGAAAGGGGGAGTGGGTGGGAGAACAGATGAATCAAGATTAGCCCCAGGTTGATAATTGTGGAAGCTGGGTAAGGGGTTTCATTATACAATTCTGCCTGCTTTTGTATATTTGAAAATTTCCAAAATCAAAGGTTAAACAAAACAAAAGAGCTGCTTAAAGGATGTTGACAACATAGAAAATATTACATATAAATAATCTTTTGTTGTTTATAGAAAAGATGATAAAGTTTTACAAAAAGGAGAGAAAAACTAATCTTCAATTCTTAGAAATGTTTATCAAAATGTACCAGGGCAGTGATTACATATGATGTGCAGCTTAACATCTCAGAATGTAAATCATTCCACTACTTAGACTCTATCTTGGACAATGGTCCGCTTCAGAGATTCTAATTACTACTTGTGTTATTTCTGCTGATTAGATTGAAGATTTAGATTGTGGGATATCAGAAATGCTACTTGTTATTTTTACCCTATTTGGAAAGTTTCTCTAACATTATCAAGAACTATAAGAAGACAGTGAATCTCACAGATGGGAAAAAGAATATTTTACTACAGAAAAAGTATTGCTTTGCTTAACTTGAAAGGTTAACTTTCATTAAGACAGTGATAAAAACTTTTATAGAAAGAATGACAAATATGTAAAATTACCTCCATTGCTGTGGGCTATTGTCAGGGCTTCCAAAGAAGTTGCTGGAGTTACTTCTAGCTGGCAGATCATGACTTTGGCTCTGCTAATGGCATTGGCTGCTTCTCTCAGGTCTTCAGTATTCAAAAGTAAATTTGCTCCAGCCACTATAACGATGATATTCTGGCCTATAAAGAATTTCTACATATTTATATCAAAAACCAAGCAGAGCCAAGCAATGATATTCTGCAGTGTTACAATCACCCTTACAAAGTCATTATATAAAATGTGTTGTATTAATTTTAACATTTCTAGGCCATTCAGGTTAAACTTTGTCTTCCTAATACATCTTCTTTTGTAATATCTCTGTAAGATTCATATCATTCTGATTATTTTGAGCAAAATCTAAAAAAAATTTCTCATCAATATTCTTATATACAAAGAATATTAGCTGAGAAATGATATATAACATCTTAATATTTTCTTTTATGGGAAATATGTGATACAATGTATGTGGTAAAGATTCTGAATCCTAAATGATAGATGTCATAATGATGAGTATAAATAGTAATAAACTTGCCTAATGCTAAAAACTAATGCCCTGTAGTATGCAATCAGTTCATGTGTGTACTCTCTAGTATTCTAAAAAGTGATTTTGTAAATCAAAACACAAATCTAACCGATGGAAAATTGTACTAGATAACTTAAGGTAGAGAGAGGAATATTTGGTCTATGCTGTACCAGATCAAAGAGAAGCAGGACTAAGAAATCTTATATACTCATCACTTGGACCCACTCTCTACAATCCCACCTAAATGGGGCATTTTATCTGTCAGGTGAACTCTCAAGAGCTGTGCCGTCCAACATGACAGTCATGAGCACAAGCCACATGTGGCTACTGAGTACCTGAAATGTGTCTAGTCCAAATTGAGATGTGCTTTAATTGTACAATACATAGCAGATTTCAAAGACAGTACAAAGAAAAGAATGTAAAATATCTCATTAATTTTTAAGAACATTTTGTTTTTTTGTTTTTGTGAGGAGGATCGGCCCTGAGCTAACATCTGCCAATCCTCCTCTCTTTTTGCTAAGGAAGACTGTCCCTGGGCTAACATCCATGCCCATCTTCCTCCACTTTATATGGGACGCCGCCACAGCATGGCCTGACAAGCAGTGCGTCTGTGCGCGCCTGGGATCCAAACCTGCGAACCCCGGGCCGCCACAGTGGAGCGCGCGCACTTAACCGCTTGCGCCACCGGGCCGGCCCCTAAGAACATTTTGATGACATGTTGAAAGGATAATATTTTAGATATATTGGGTTAAGTGAATATATTAGATTAAGTTTCTTTTTACTTTTTAAAATGTGGCCAATGGAAAATTTAAAATTATGTAAGTGCCTTGCATTATACTTCTGTTGGGCAGCACTGATCTAGAGGGATGAGTTGCAGCAGTCATTTTTTTGTGCTGCAGGCTGCTCGTGCTGATCTTGTATAGACATGACCTAAAATTACCTCTGAACACAGAACACATGCTCGCCTATCATCTTACCACAGATGTGTTTGTTGGCCACAAGGAGGACTTAATAAAGTGGGGATCGTTCAGCATAAACCCAACCTCGGTACTGGAAAAATTCAAAGTACCCACACACTGAAAGACAGCTTACCACCTTCCTTTTCTCCTTCAGTGACCTCATTCTCTCTCCTAGAGTCAACTGCTGCTTCTGTGCTGCTGACTCCCACATCTACATCTCTGGCCTGGCCTTGTCTGATGCGCAACAAGCCCAAGACTACAGCTGTCTGGTGGACACTGCCATAGGGCTAGCTCATTCATGCCTGAAATTTAACTTGTCAAAACTAAACTCTTGACTTTACCTTGCTGCTCACATCTTCATTTAAAGGAGCTGATTGTCCCCTCTCTGGATATTTTGTTAGCTCTTCTATACAATTTGTACTCTCGAGGGTATTACCATATACTATAAACCTAAGTCTACCATAATAGGCACTCAATACACAATATTAAATTATTTCTTTGCACGGAAAATGCAGTAGTTTGTTACACAGATAAGGAAGAAACAGAACTCAAAGATATCCCTAGAACACAAAAAAGGGGTCTAAGACAGGGAATGAGCTGCTGTTGGCAGCAGTAATTACTTAAGATGTAGCTTCAAGTAACGAACACAGGCTGTTGTCTATTGTCAGAATGAAAACTTGCATCCCCTGTCTTTAAGTGGAATACATTTTGTTGTTGTTATTGCAACTTTGGGGTCACTAAAGTAGAGCTAAAAATACCATATCTTCTGTGAGAAATGATCTTGTAGAAATGCATCATAAATAGAAGAAATATTGTGACAAATCCTAATTTAATACAATGCACCCTGACTGCCCACCATGCACCTAGGAGCCCATGAAATGCTTGGTCCTTCTGAATATTAATTCTGATTTTAAAAATCTTATGTAGGTGTTTTTATACTTAAAATAGTTGGCAGAAATTATGAAAACTTTACTTGAGGGTAAAGGGAAGTTACTGTTTTTAGAGACAAATGTTTCAACTATTGCAAGGCCTTGTGACAGACATAGCTGTATATATAGACTTTTGAGATTTCATTGCTGTTTAAAGAGCAGACAAAACTGAACACTGATGATAAGAGTAATTAGTTGCTGCCATTTGCTCAGTAAATATTCTATAAATACGATTAATCAACTTTCTTTTGCACCTATCTATTTACATTAATTTACCTAGTGTAACCGAAATGACAGATGAACACAACTGCTTTTAGAGACAAATGTCAATTCTGAGTTCACATGAAGGGTAATGGGATGTTACAGGATATAAATATTATTTTCAAGCAACTATAACACTTCATATGTTTAGATGGGAAATTTCATATTTGAATGATCAACCTGGGAAGTATAAATAAAGGGAAACGTTTATATTTAGATTGGAAAGACCATGCTTTAGGCCTTGGAGTGGTGGATTTAGTAAGAGATCCGTAGATTAGGGTAAAAATTGACGCTTCTGCTCTAGTTCTGGAAATGAACTGTCTGTTTTATGAAATGACACTCAAATATGTGAAACACATACCTTCATTATCGACAATTATAGAAGCCGCTCCTGTTGCAGCATCTTTAGTCTGATATGTAAATTCTAAAAGAAAAAAGAAATTACAATCACATATATACAGGCTGGCATGCATAATCTATTTTAACAATTTCAATGCACCACTAATCTTTGGAAAAACTTTTTAACCTTTAACCATCTGGAATGATGAAAAAGAAATAAGTAATTAGTGCTAATTTATACTCATCACCTATACAATGAGGAAAACAGAAGTCTTTACACTTAGTTGCACCTTTTTTCTACATTAGTAACAACCCAGCAAACCACTCTCGCTTCCAATTCCCCCAAAACATTCATAGTTGTATACATAGGCATTTTTCTAGACCACCATGTTTCTTTTCTTCAGTGAAACAAATGAAAGACTTGAGATGAAAGATTAAAGGTCAAACCCATAAAATGAACTTGTTTGATTTTCTTCATTCTCATAAGCCTTGCATCTCATCAAGAATTATGGGCTGGCGTGTAAATGGAAACGTTGATCAGGCAGCCTTTGGCAGCAGCAAAGAGCCTTGAACTGGAGCCAAAGACCTGCAGTCTAGTCCTGGCTCTAGCTCCAACGAGCTGTGTGCTCTTGGACAAATTCAGAACCAATCTGGCCTTCAGTTTTCTCTTTTTGAAATAATGGTATGATCCTCAGTGGTTTCTAAGATCGTTTCCAGCTATTAACATTCGATAATTTTTCTTAAAATATCTTTTGTGAAGGCAGCACCTGTTTTCTCTCATCACCTGCTTTTGAAACATTTCTACAAGACAAAGGTTTGTAACCTCCTATCATTATATTCCCATCTGGAGGAATGTACATGAAAGAATTAACCAAAGGACATTTAAAAAGCAAGACTAGACAAAGCTGTGCATAAAAATTCTCTGGCCACCAGGGGAGGATCTAATAATTCTATTCTATATTCAACTTTTCTTGTACCCAGATCCCAGAAGAAAGTTATAAAAACTAACTTAAAAAAAGATGAAATTTTACCTGTAGAAATACCATTCTGTTTTAAGTTTTCTATATAATCATTGCCAAAAGAATCTTTGCCAACCTGTACCAAACAAATGATGAACGTTAGATCTTTTACATTTAGTAAAATGCTACAATGTAGTTTTTGGAATACTTAGCATTTTAAAAGGGCATATCTGCACAGTACTTTATAAACACTAACTAATTAATCTTCTTAATGTAAGATGCTAGACTTGATTTCAGCCCAAAGAATTGTTATATATTAATGTTCCACTTAGGAATATCCTACCTAGAATGTGAAGCACTTAATGACTGTCACAAGTTCTATAGCTTCACTCTCATTTTGATCTGTTCATGTGGAAATTACCAGAGACAGAGCTGTCTACCATCAACAATCCTCAGTATTTATGAAGAATCTCAGTTGTTTGTACTTCACTATAAAACATCTTAGTAATGACTTGCATGGTGTTTTAGAGTCTTATTATCTTCTCCCCTGACTCTGACATGGGGGGCAAAGAGGAGGGAATTTAAAGAGCCCTAGCTAACTTGGGTAACTTGGTATAGTGGAATTCTGTTGTTTTTGCATCCTAGCATCCATTCTGGTAATGATACTTTGATTTTTCCTTTGGATACCCATTCCTCTTCAATTCATAGACAACATTATGCAGGTGGCACATTTGTTACACTCAGTGAACTCATGCTGACACATCATTATCACTCAAACTCCATTGTTTACATTAGGGTTCACTCTGGTGTTATATATTCTATGGGTTTTGACAATTGTATATGTAGACATGTATCCACCATTATAGTATCATACAGAATAGTTTCAGTGCCTTAAAAATCCTCTGTGCTCTGCCTATTCATCTCTCCCTCCCCCTTAGCCCCTAGCAACTACTGATCTTTTTCCTGTCTCCATAGTTTTGTCTTTTCCACAATGTCATATAGTAGTCGGAATCATACAGTATGTATCCTTTTCAGACTGGCTTCTTTCACTTAGTAATATGCATCTAAGATTCCTTCATGTCTTTTCATGGCTTGATCACTTATTTCTTTTTATCACCAAATAATATTCCATGGTATGAATGGACTGCAGTTTATTTATCCATTCACCCACTGAAGGACATCTTGGATGCCTCCAAGTTTTGGCAATTATGAATTAAACTGCTATAAACATCCATGTGCAAATTTTTATGTGGTTGCCCTCCTATTTTTACTTTTAATTTTAATCAGCTGTCACCATTTAAATATTAGGAGACTTCACAAAAACAAACAATTTCCAGGAGGTTCCGAAAATTCAGAGGTTCTGGAAACACTGGGCCCACATTCCTGCAAGGCAGCCCAGCTGGAACTGCCCCAAAGGTGAGCACATGCTCTCTAGTTCACCACAGCTCCCACCTTGCCTACTGCAATTTATGTTACCTGCTTGGGCCCTGTAGACTTTTATGCTTGCCACTCCCGAACTCTACTTCTACTTTTCTATCCTACAGGTGAGTACTATGTCAATGGGTTATGTCTAGTCAGGTCTCAGCCACTCCTGGTGTGTCTGCTCTTCCATAGAAAATTTTCTCTCTCTGAATATATCAATAGAAAGAAACCTAGAGATTTACATGCCTCAAGATCCTCAATAAGTGAAGATATTGAGCTTTCTGGTGAGCTTTTGGATTGTCTGATCAGGGGTTGAAAAATTTTTTTCTGGACGAGGCCAGATAAATATTTTTAGACATTGCGGGCCATAGGGTCTCTTTTGCAACAATACAACTCTGCTGTTGCAGTGTGAAAGCAGCCAAAGAAAGTCTGTAAACAAATGGAGGTGGCTATGTTCCAATAAAACTTTATTTTCAAAAATACATAGTAGGCAAGATTTGACCCCTGGGCCATAGTTTGCTGACATATGATTTAAATGCCACTTCTGATACCTTCTTCCTCAAAGAACACTTTTCCTTTGCTCCTCTTCTGGATAAAATGCTGATTAGGCAACAATCTCAAAAAATATATAATAATTTCTTTTTAAAAATGATTTTATTGGGGTCATGGCTTACAACATTGTGTACATTTCTGGTGTACATCGCTATATTTCAGTTTCTGTATAGACTGCATCGTGTTCACCACCAACAGTCCAGTTTTTATCCGTCACCATACGTATGTGTCTCTTTACCCCTTTTGCCCTCCCCCACCCCATTCTCCTTTGGTAACCACTAATCTATTCTCCTTATCTATGTGTATGTTTATTTTCCACATATGAGTAAAATCATACAGTTTTTGTCTTTCTCTGTCTGACTTATTTTGCTCAGTATAATACCTTCAAGGTCCATCCATATTGTCGCAAATGGCACAATTTTGTCTTTTTTTATGGCTGAGGAGTAGTCCATTGTATATATATATATATATATACCACATCTTCTTTATCCATTCATCTGTTGATGGACACTTGGGTTGCTTCCACATCTTGGCTATTGTGAATAATGCTGCGATGAACATATGGGTGCGCATATCTTTTTGAATTATTGATTTCATGTTCTTTGGATAAATAGTAGTGGAATAACTGGGTCATATGGTATTTCTATTTTTAATTTTTTAAGAAATCTCCATACTTAAAATATATATAATAATTTCTTATTAGCAGAATTTCTATCTCTACAATGAAAAGCGTCCACTACAAAGCATTGCTGTAGAGAGAGTTCCCTGGTGGAAGAAGGTCATCTACCAGAGGTTTCCTTCATGGGAAGCTGGCCATTTATCTACCAGGTAAGTGCCAAAGCCTCCTATTTCTTAGGTCAGAGATTGTACCAGAACCAAATTCTTTGTTCTCTCATCTGTTTTTACATTATTTAACTCTCTCCCATGGGCAATCAAGGTGTTATATAGTTGGGAAAGTATCATTACAAGAACGTTATAGAGATTAAGAAAAGGCCATCCCTAGGCATGTGGGGCCTGATGCAAATTAGAGCAAAGAAACTTCTCTCCCCTTTCCTATCAGTTTTATACAGGCAAAATCTGTTTAAGGTGAATGTCAAGGGCAGGTGATAAATGGTGGTAATAATATAAACACCAGGAAGTGCAGGGATTACGAGGAGGGGAGGAGGAAACCGAAAAACATGCAGCTTTGCCTTCAAGAAACTGATAATATTGGAGAGAGAAGACACAGAGAGGCAACTACAGTACCAATGGAATATCATGTGCATCAGAGGCATAATTAGGAAGGGATCTCATGCTCAGGGTAACTGCATTTTGCAGCCTTGCTGCAGTTGCTCAGAGAATCACCTGATTGGCTATATCCCTCTGTGATGGTTATGGTTCCAGGTTTATTCTAATAGTGATTTCCTGGCAAGTCTGCTGCCTGGTCTTCTAAACTCTATGTGAGAAACGGAACAAAATACTTTGCTTTTACCTTTAATATTCCTTTGTCAAAAATAAAAATCTGGTAACTGAAAAATAATGGAAAAGTAAAACACTGCTGAGGATTAAGAGAAGTCAACTCCAGCTCCATTAACTTTACATCTAGGTGGCAGTGATACATTACAACATAAAAGGAGTGATAAAAAGCCTAAGAACAGGAAGACAATGTTTTCATTTGTGTCATGGAAGCCCCTTCACACTAGCTGTGTGATTTGGGGCAAGCTACTTTAACTGTCTCTAGGCCTTAGTTTCCTTATCTGAACAGTCACAGCAAGTTTGCTGTGAGGATAAAATATATAATATGCATGAAAGCATGTTTAAAACTGTAAAGGATTAAATAAGGGTTTGGTGCTATCATCATCATCATCATCATCTTTATCATCAGGCTGCTTCTCTTGGGGGAAGGGGCAGGGCTACTGCTGCTTGGATTCAATCTTACAAACAACTTTCCTGCCCATCTGGTTCTTCCTGACGCTTCAGTTCTTTCTGCTGCTCCCTATTTTCAAACAGAAGAGCACTTGATCGTGGAAGGAAGCATGTGGGTGCATCAAATTATTTTAAAAATGAGATTGTATTACTATTATTATTCTAATAAAAACACAGTATCTCCATTAATGGTTTGATGTAACTAATGCTGTTCAATGTAATCACATATCCTGTTACTTTCATGAGAATAATATAGCCAACTGGGAGGGTATCTCTGCCTTGGGAGTAAGCTTTAAGTGGATCTAAATCATATATCAAAATGTGGACAAAAAGCATTAGAGACCTGAGTTCTATTTCAAATGATCCTCTTTTTCTTTCTGAGGAAAGAAAGAAATTACAGAGTGGCACAGATGACATGTGTGATGTTATACTAAAAGAATGCCATCTTCTCTATTTCTTCACCCTCAAAACCTCTTACATATTCATTTATTCTTCTGGACTTACTTTAAAAGAGGTTGAGAGAAGTGAGCACCTTCCAATGCCCTTTACTTACTTCTGACTCAAATGTAAGCCTCTTCCCCACCAACTGGAAATTGATAACCAGAAGTCAGAGGAGTAGAACCCAAGCTAAGGTGTCATTCATTGCCTGCCGTTGAGAGCTGAGTCAAAAGTATGTTGAAAGTTACAGTGAATGATACCAATGAAAGCCCCTTGAAATAAGGACTGTTATAAAGGAACCTTGATAGGTATCTTTGGAGGCTTCCCTATTTTTCTGGTCACACTTTGGCTATCAAATTGATATGAAAGCTTTAAATGTAAGTATCTTGGCCACGAAGCAAAATGGCGCATATGGAAGTCAGGAAACGTAGAATCTAATTTCAGTTCTGCCACTATCAAGCTAATTAAAATTCTTTGCTACAAATTGTTCCATCTGAGCCAGTCTCTAGGGTGGGACTGGTGTGAGATATCTCTGGCAGGCAGGAAAGCAACAGTTCTCAACCTTGACTGCACATTAGTATGTCCTGAGGAGCTTATTAACATCCGGATGCCCAGGTCACACCCCAGACCAATTAAATCAGACCCTTCACAGGTGGGACCATCACAAGCTCCCTAGATGATTACACTGTGCGGCTTCCAGTTGAGAACCACTGGTTGTAGGATTAAAGCCGGGAGAGTGGCTGTAAAGCTTTGTCTTTGTGGAAGAAATGAAGAGGGAGAGCACAGTCCCGCTTGGTACCACATTGGTAAGTCAACTAAGTGGGAGCACAGAGAAGCGTGACCTGCAGAATCTGCTGGGGACGAGGGCCGTATCAGGGTCCAACTCTGGGATCAAGGTATTGTAAAGTCCGAAAGATTTTCCTGGCTTGTGTTTGCTGACTCCAGTCTCATTTTGACATGACCCAGGTTTGCTTCCTCTTGCTTCTTTTGCTTCTATCTTTGTAAAACGCATATTTGGCAAAAATAGTTGGATTTCTCTGTTTTTCAGAGTGGTCAGTAGACGCACTATTAACTTGATATTATCTTTTGACTGTGTTAAAATACTATGTGAGTACAATATATTCATGTCTATATCCTTGCCTTATGAGAACGCAGAAGTCCTTTCCTCTCTCCTCTACCTAATCAAACCTCACCTGTTTTTCAAGCATCAACTTAAGGCCCACCTTCTCTATTCCAGCCCTTGTTAATCCTCTCATTTCAAGAACTCCTGGCATATAGCATTCCTAATGGATACCATATAATTAAACACTTAATTGAATACCATCTTATATTGTTTGGCTAAACAGTCTTCCTTAAGGTCTAGTCTTCCTAAAAGCTCATGGGAGACTTGAGCTTAGCATCTACTTATCTGTCCCCAAGCCCTGTGCATTAAAGATGTTCTATAAGTATTTGATCATCTTAGTTACCTCTTCTTTTTCCATGGGCCTCTTTATCATTCTTAAAGAGACATGACTGCAGGCACCCATATGATTTCTAGTTGTGGCTGCAGAAAGGTTCTATCCAAAGTTTTGCTTCTAATAGCCCTCTTGAAGGCACTCACACTCTTTTGGTTGCAGCAGTGAAATACTTTTGGGCAGAAAGATTCTGACAAAACTGTGTAGTGTGAGGTAGCCTGTGTGAGCCTGTTCCAGGAGAAAGAAGCCAGGTCTTCAGCATCTCTGGACAACCACTCATACTTAAGCTAAGCAACTCATAAAACCCTAGATGCTCTTAAGGAAATCCTGGATTCAGCTCTACCCTGAATATTATAGAGCAGTGCTGTCAAATGGAACTTTCTGCAATGATAAAATGTTCTATATCTGTGCTGCCCAATATAGACACTTGAAATACAGCCAGCGTGATTGAGGAATTCATTTTATTTTAATTACATTTAAATCTAAATAGCCACATGTGGCTAGTGGCTACTGTATTGGACAATGCAGCTGTAGAGAGATGTGTATTAGGATCATGGAAAACAAAAGGGCTGGGTTTATCAGGAGCAAGAGCATTTCTTTCAGCTAAGGGTACTGAGCTGCTTCCTTCGCTCTTATCACTGGGAAGATTCTCTTTTGCACTAAGGGAGAGCCAGTCAGTGGCTTCCACACTCCAGAACTATGACCTAATGCTGAGGAGGGTAACTTCAGTTAGCATATCATAACAAAGTTCTGTATTTCAAAATGGTTGAGGAACGGGCTGCTTGGAATCGTTGAACGGCAGAAAAAATCTAGTAATTCCACCCATCAACATATATTTGAGGTAAATAAAACAGAGGACCAAGATAGCTTACCCAAGGTCACATGAAATTGAATATTCTGCTAAAAAGATTATCACATATATTAAAACAGGTTACCAATTTTCAAAGTTAGAATACATGAAAATATAACACTAAACTAAGCTGAAAATAATTTAATCTTTGTGATTCAAGACATTTTGACTTTTCAGTGCCTGAGGGTCATAATAAACAGCAGGTTTAGAATACTAAGCTGCATTTGTTGTCTTATAACAAAACCCAGCAGTTGTTTTTTTTTTTTTTAATAAATCCCTCATATTAACTTTTTAACTTGTCATTTGTGGCTTTATCATAAAAGATGAAGGAAGAATACATGAAATTCCAGTTTAAGCTTGCTGGTTGTTATATCCTAGATAAATGGGTGTTTACCTTAATAATGGCCTTTAATATACAAAGTTAATGTTACAATCACCATTATCATGCCTGCTTATCGGAGAGTGGTGGTGGGTCTGTGGTAATCCTATATGAGGCATATTTTATTTATTTGGTTAGGGTCATTGGAGCCCCTGGGTTTGGATACATGGCCAGGCATTCCAGTCAACATAGCCAACTAGTTTTAGGCAGTCATCTTTCTACAGAGTTCAGGAAAGGACAGATTTCACTTCATTATATAATACCTGGGAAGGCCCAGGGAGTAATTTTTGATCTTTGAAAATTAAAATCTCAATGCACAATCAATTGGTTGTCCTATAGTAATCTAACAGAGAAGTTACCTTTTTTGGTTAAGATGATGGGTACTCTAATACACTGCTTTTCAAGCTATCTGTGGTGAAGGTTCAGTGTTTTTTTTCCTTCATTTTCAATCCATTGTAGACTAAGAATTTTGTAAAACACAACAACAATTAAATGAAAACAAAAAAGTCACACAAAATACAAGCCCTAATTTATTATTACTATTATGTTCAACAGCTATAGAATTACTGTCAAATTGCTGTAACTGTTTCTAACTGCTTACTCTCAATTTCTGTACTGTTCAGACCAGTGCCAGTTTGCAGCCTGAGGACCAGACTTTGAGTAGCACTGCTCTAACATACTGCCTCTGTCACAGAACTTCATACCTGACCATTCTGAAAGGAAAACAGAAGGCTACTGGTATGAGAGAGTTTAGATAGTCTCATGTTTGAAGAAAGAAAAACCAGGTAATCTCTTGAAGGTCCTCCCAGTTTCCTGATTTCTGATCTAGGTCATATTGAGCCCATGCCTTATCATAGTTTCCTTCCCCCTCCACTGGAAGCAGGGTCTCTGGGCTCATCTTGGGCCACTGTATCTTGAGCTCTTTATTCTACCACGGTCCTCCTGAACAGCCAGTTTTTGATGTTTAGAAATAACTTCCTTCCCTTTAACATTTGGCTTCAATGGAATGGAGAAGGAGCAATGGCTTAAACAAACCAGGTGAAGTCTTATGAAAGGTCTCCTTACAGCCTCTTTGCCTGCCAGGACTTTCATTTTCTGTGATATCTGCCTGGATGTTTAATCTCAAAACATCATCTCCAATTATCCTCGGACTGCAGTTTTGGCCCATGACTCAGCTGAATATTGACTATACAACTCTTAACTACTTGAAGTGTTTCATTATACATGTTTCATGGTACGCATTTTGATGGACTCTTGCTTAATAATCCTTGTCACAACATCTTGACAAATATTTCTCCTTAGCTCAATATAAGACGTTTTGCATGTGCCATCAAACAGTCTTACTTCATCAGAGCTTGAATTTTAGTTTGTTGCAGGGCAGTAGTAGGTAAGTTAATGTTGCTAAGAGAACTATAGGAAATTTTCTACCTGTTTTTCCTTTGCTCTATCTGTTCATTTTTATCTTGAGTAATTTTGTGATTTTGGTTTCTACTTGGAATTTGTCATCTTTAAACTGCTATAAAGCAGTTTGGCTAATTTGCTTAATAAAAATATACATCAAAATGGAAAGAAATATCATGATAAATGGATAACAACTTCTATTATAAAAGATATTTTATTTTTCTTTCTAAGAAGTCTAAGAATATTGTGCAATTTGTTTAAGCTTAAATAAATCCATGTCTAAAGGTTCCAGGTAATTTAAGCAAAGTAACCCTTTTAGCTGCAGCCATCTTTTCTTATCCTCTGTACAGACACCCAGGCTAAGTTCCACTGTGTAGCTAAACATTAGATGACTAGATCGGGGGCACAGTAGGTACAAAGAACTTGCAAAATTGTGCAGGTGTGAACATGAACCATCACACACAGACCAGAATAAAACAAATAGCACCTCTGCTTTAATCAACCTCCTAACTGGAACATTTCCCAAAATACAGCCCTCTGCCTTCTATTCCTCTCACATCCACTCCTATGGTTCATGATTCATTTCTCCAGTTCAATTCCACAATTCAAATATTTCTATTTTGTGTTTCTCTCTTTGCCTCAAATTCAACAGACATAAAATAAAACCAATCTCAAAATCTTCAAGTTGGATGAGATCCCAGGGGACATCCAATTTTGACTTTAATGGCTATGTGAATAGCTTTTATAAAGCTTCCAAGAGGGGGTTCTCTAATCGCTCCTTTAACAGCTCCAGCTCTGGGGAATTCCTCTCTCCCCAGGGCAGCCATTTTTGGTACCTTGCTTCCAATAGCAATTCTCTGTCTAGGTTTTCCCAGCCAGGAAATGATATCAGCTTCTTTCCAGTTCCCAAGCCCCCATAAGTCAGCACCATCTGATTACTCCCCAAACACTTCATTGCTAACCAAGTACAGGATGGGTCAGGCCTAACACTTTTAATCAGCTCTCTCTCCCAGCCCCATAATTCCTAGCACATAATAGGTAATCAATAATAATTGTTGATTAATTGATTATTTTAAATCTATCAAGAACTCAACCTTAGGAAATGAGGGTTTCTTACTTTGAATCTTGTGCTTCATGTGATGTTTTTGACCGAGTAGCCAGATGAGAATTATATCATGTTAATCATAAACTAGAGAACTACAGTTCATTAGTAGATAAAGTGATGATTATATAATTTCTACATCATTCAAAGACTCCTGTGGAGAGAAAAGTGCTGTATGCAATGGGAAATGACATTTCAGAGAAATTTTGGTTAAATCTCGCCAGTTCACAGGAGAGAGCTCATTCTTTTAAATTTCTTGTATTTTTCTTATCCTCTGTTATGCAGACCCAGTTTAGCTTTCCTAGAATAAATAAATAGACTTTCTTTCCTGTTATACCAGTAATGCTAGCATCTTAAAATTTCATTAAAGATGCAAAAGTTGAACCTTTGGCAGCCACTTTTGATTTATTTTTGAATAATTTTAGTAGGATGGATAGAAATAGGATTACTGTATTTTACATATCATTTCTTTATATACCTGAAAATAGAACTATGCCTAAAGATCAGTTATGTGTAGTTCCTTATTAAGGCCCAGATTCCTTTCTGATCCAAGATATAGCACTAGAAGAAAATAACTTCGAGATGAGTAAATCACCAGTTATTAGACCAAGTTTCCAAAAGCTGTGTTGCTGCAGTGAAACCTGTAAAAACAAGATGACTCATGCTGTTGTTTAGAAGCTGGACTACAGAAACCCATTGGAGTAGGCTAATTCTCCTCACTTCTCACACTCCAGTTGTACACTCATTAAATTCAAGGAATGCAGTATTAAGTTATTTGAGGACTGCTACTTCCCAGAGGATTCAGTGAGGTAGAAACTAATATAAAGGACAAGGAAGATTACTCTCTCCTATTTAAATCTTTAAAAACAATGAACTTCCAAAAGAATCAAAAAGAGGTACTCAAACATGTACATGTACAAGCATGTTTATAACAGCACTGTTCACAATAGCCAAAAGGTAGAAACAGCCCAAGTGTCCATCAACAGATAAATGGATAAACAAATTGTGGTATATACAATGGAATATTATTCAACCACAAAAGGAATAAAGTACTGATACATGCTATAAGGTAGATGAACCTTGAAAACATTATGCTAAGTGAAAGAAGCCAGACACAAAATGTCACATATCATATGATTCCATTTATAGGAAATATCCAGAATAGACAAATCCATAGAGACAGAACGAAGATTGGTGGTTGCCAGGGGCTGAGGGGAGGGGGAAATGGGGAGAAACTGCTTAATGGGTAAGGAGTTTTACTTTGGACTGATGGAAATGTTCTGGAACTAGATAGAAATGGTGGTTGTACAACTCTGTAAATGTACTAAATGCCACTAAATTGTTCACTTTAAGATAGTTAAAAAAAAACAAAAACAATGAACTCAAGTCTTAAACCAGATTCTTGCCTCTAGAATCCTCTCCACTGTACTTTACACTTACCTTGCACACCATGCACGTCTTTGCTCCAAGCCTAGCAGCTTGGACACACTGGTTGGCACCTTTCCCTCCAAAGCCAATAAAAAACTTATGTCCATGGATGGTTTCTCCAGTTTTTGGCAAACGGGAAGTAAGACTATCATAATTTAAAAAGACAAGGGGGAAAAAAAAGCACATTGGTAACTGCAATCAATTTAAGTTCTTAGGAGAGAGAGCGAAAGTTATCTGATGGAGCTCTAGTCTTAGCAGTCAGAACTGCAAGCAGAAGCAGGGAAGATTACCTTTTCCTCTAAGATAACATCAGTAGTTGCATCACTATCGAGAATGCATCCGCTTGACAGAATTCCTCTCTCTCCCACCCCTCACAGCTGCACTACTGCAGCTCTACTTCAGATGGCAGTTCCTAGTGTCTGTACTGCATCAGGGTTGTTCATGGGTGCCTCTGTTTTCCATCCTGGAAAACTCTTGGAGGGAAGTAACTTCATATTCCCCCTTCCCAATGCCCAGCACAGAGCTTTATTCACAGTGGGACTTAATAAATGGGACCAAGTTAATGTGTGTTCTGTATGGGTTTATTTGGTTACCTTAATAAGAAGCAGGAAGTGTACCAGGATTCTGGTAACCATGTTCAGGACCTAAGAAGAAGAGGGAAATTGCAATTCTAGGCACTAAAGAATGTTATTTGTTTCCTTGAGGGGCAGGTGGGAATGGTATTTAGATGGCAGGATCAGGTTTTGGTCGTAGTCCATCCTGTATACCACTCATTTCATGTACTGAATCAAAAAGAGCATCTATTTTAAAAAATGAATTCTAAAGAGCTAAGTTTAGTTTTAAAATTTTACTACAGAAAATTCCAAACATATAAAACTAGAGAAAATATTGACTTCCTCTACCCCCATGCACCCATCACCCAAATTCAACTATTGTGAACTCATAGCCAATCTTGTTTCAGTCTATACCTTCATCAGCTTCTCCAAGAGCTAAGGTTTCTTACTGATATGTGACTGCCTAATGAGGATTGTATTAAATGAGGCAAAAAAGTAAAAACTTTGTTCCAGGGTATGATTTTCGTAACATTAAAAGTAGAAGATGTGAGGAAACAAAACTTTGAAGGACAGGAGACTTTAAAATGGAAAAGGAGTTCTGGGTATAGGGGCAAGTGAAGAAGATGGGCTCAAGTGGCTGAGGACTGGTTGGCTACAAAGAATGGGCAAGAGCAAGAGGGGAGAGATGGCAGGTGTGACCAAAAAGGTTAATTAGCTTTAGACAGGAAAAAAGGTCAAGAGAGAAGTTCACAATAGTAAGTCAACTGAGAACCTAATCTGTTTTAGCAGATTAGAAATTTATACTCATTTCCCACATAGGCTGTGATCTATCTGAAAACAGTATCTTTATATATTAGACTAACAGAAAAATGCCAGTTCCTACAGGTCACTAACAGCCTGTTTGCAACAGGCTGTCAAAAACACATGATTGTGTCAATAAAGACCAAGTTCCACCTGTGAACTTCTGTTATGTAGTTCTAACAATCTCAATAAATTGAGCTAAACTACTCCATTCCCTAGCAATGCACTGTCAAATATGGGTATTTGAGATTCAAAAGAGACTTGTCAATAATTCGAAAACATCCCACTCCACTCCTCCCCTTTTCAATTCTATTTTTATCTCGGATTCTAAATGCATTTATAGTACTGATGAAAAAAATATACATCTACAAGGTTCACTTCTGAAAAAGGTACTCAATCAAGAGAAAAATGGTCTTAATGTAATGTTATTATCCTGTCATTTAATTTAGCAATGACAAGTGATGATGAGATTTTGATTTGCACCAGTAATCTTAAACATTTTAGGATTCTGTTATGAGCAGGCAATGATGAGTAATCTGTGTGATTGAGTAACTATGCGAATACTTGGCTTATTGATGCTGCTACAAACAACATTCATAACAACCTTAAAAAGAAAAAATATCCAATGTGGCTAAAAACATTCCAAATAACTTAATTAGTAACACTGTCACTAACTAAACTTATGACTTCCACTATATTTATACTTAGATCTGGGTCACAATTCACTGGTTTGAACCAAGTGTATTTTTTATTATCAACAGTGGGAAATCATGAAAAATATATCACCAGATTATTACTGGGACATACATGTATGCGGGGGAGGAGTGAAATTAGGGGTACAGTGTGTGTTTGATGTGGGAGCAGATGGCTGGGATTTAAACTCATTTCTAAACAACTTATATTCAATTTAGCTATCACTGAAATTCCTCACTCCTTTGGAATTCTACTCTTTTCTTTTCCTTCTGCATCTTTGCCCTACTCTTATCGCTGTCTTCCCTCAATTGTAGACTTGCCCTGCATGAGGACAGGGATCAAGTCTGTCATGTTCTCCATTTTATCCATAGTGCCTGTCACTTAGCAAGGGGTTAACAGATTTGCTGAATCTTTCTAAGAGTCTCCCCTTGTCTCTGAAGGGTAGCAGAATATGCCACCCCAAAATATGCCGCTTTGGTATATTGATGATTTTGAGCTGTAGGCACTTGAAAACCAGCAAATGCAGGGAAAGGCTTTTTCTTTTTTCCCTTTATCTGCCTAACGATAAGTCATCCTAAAGGAACCCAACCATCATAAATCCCCTCCCCAGGAGTTTCGTCAACCAGAGAGGACTGACTCTTGTCACAGGAGAGGAAAGTAGAAGTCAACACCACACCCAGATAAACTTTGTCACAAACTATCATACCTCCCATCTATTCTTCTAAGGGCCCATTCATCTTTCCTAAAAATCATTTACTCCTCTCTAACAGGCCTACCTCCCCTTCCCCTTTCCCTATTAAAATGATATTTAATCCTGAATTCTAAGTTCCCTGAGTATCTCTCATGTATACCTGAGAGATACAGGTTAATAAACTTGTGTTTGTTTTTCTCTTGTTAATCTGTCTTTTATTACAGGGGTCTCAGCCAAGAACTAAGAAGGAGAGAGGGAAAATTATTTTTCCTCATCTACATCTCTTTGCCACATATCTCTTGTATAGCCTCCATTCTTCTGAACTGAGGATGCGGAGGTGTTGATGAATGGGAAGGAGGAGCAGACTGGCAGGGATGACCGTTCAATTGTCTGGCAACAACAATTCCATGTTTTATCAGACCTTGCCCACTGTATTCCCAATATTAGCAGCATTCCTCTTCTAGAAGCAAGAACTGTAATTAGAACTCATACTATCATTCCTTCATTCATGCATTACTTCAACAAATGTTAAATCAGTGTTTTCCAATTTACCTCCTACAGGGCAAAGTCAACTTGCTGACTATGATAAAACCTAACCCTGATATGAGTGATACATGAGAGACAAAAAGTCACAGAACAAAGAGATTAGTATGATCCAATTCATGTTTGTTAAATACGAAAAAGATATACAAATATATTCTCATTTGGTATGTAAATGCATAAAAAATGAAAAGTTAATGACAAGTATCCATGAGAAGAGTGGAAGTGGGGAGCAAAAGTTCATGTTTTACTTTATATACTTAGGTATGGAGGTATATGCAACAAGAATGTATTTGTGTCCTATAGGATTGAGCAACCAGCTGCCAGTAGGGGTGGCCAACTTGAACACATCAAGCCTCATTGTACAGGCTCTTCCTGCTTCCCTGCTTCCCTTTCCCTGTCCCTTGCTCTTGCTCCCTGGACTACAGTCCTGAATAGAGTATGTGCACTTAAGGCTTTGTCTTATGCTCTGCTTTCTGTTGAACCCAGACTAAGACAGTTTATTGCTTATTTATTTTCTTGAAAAGTAAATGAACTGGAGAGTGGAAAGTGGAATGGAGAGCAACCAGAAAGTTAGTTACAAATAGGCAGAAGCATTTCTGAATTATAAATTCTAATTTACTTTGAATTAGGATTTCCTATTTTTCTTCCTTATTAAAATCATGAAATTAAGGTCAGGTTCAAGAAAGGGCCTGCACAAAGCACTATCCCCTGGATGAAAGCATTACTATGAACATGAGGTTTAGCAGGGTGCCAAAGTCAGACAAATTAGAGGGCTCCAAGAAAAAAAAAAACAAGGCAGTACTAGTAGAAATACACTGTTGCTACCCGTTAAAAATTTAAAATAGCGTAAATTTCTGAATGAGGGAGAAAACTCAGAGAAAACCAATCATAGGAAATATGTTTGAAGTTAAAACAAACTGTAGCTTTAAAAATGTCACGACATTTTAAAGCTGGACAGAAGGGGGCGAGCCCTGTGGCTTAGCGGTTAAGTGCGCGCACTCCGCTACTGGCGGCCCGGGTTTGGATCCCGGGCGCGCACCAAGGCACTGCTTCTCCGGCCATGCTGAGGCCACGTCCCACATACAGCAACTAGAAGGATGTGCAACTATGACATACAACTATCTACTGGGGCTTTGGGGGAAAAAAAAAAAGGAGGAGGATTGGCAATAGGTGTTAGCTCAGAGTGGGTCTTCCTCAGCAAAAAGAGGAGGATTAGCATGGATGTTAGCTCAGGGCTGATCTTTCTCACACACACACAAAATAATAATAAATAAATAAATAAATAAACTTAAAAAAAAAAAAAAAGCTGGACAGAAGGAAACACCAATAAATGTTCACGGCCCCAGTCTTCCAGGCCACGAGAGGCCACGTGGTTAGAGCCTGGTTGTGTGAGGCAGGAGGCTTCAGCTACTTACTGATTGTATTACTTTTGACAGCTTTTCCCTCTTTGAACCAGCTGCTTCTCTTGCAAAACAGGTCTAATAATACTTGTCAACCCCTTAAATGCCTGGGTTTTGTGCTCTGAGTTATTTCACTGACAGGTGTTATCAGAACAATTTATCAATTGCTTTTAACTTCTTGACAATGATGTTCTTGTTACAGATTCTCAGAGATGATTCATACCAAAGGAAGGAATGACCTGGTGAAACAGGGATGTGAAGTCTTTTGACCAAAGAGGTCATGCTAATACTGACTCCAGCCAAAAGTCAAGGAATATGTTACTTGTTGGCTTTTGCATTTCATCCTTTCTTCTTCTGGCTGCAAACTTCTGACACCCTGCACGCCCCAAAACAGGGTATTGTACTATTAGTTATTAGCTCATTAAAATTCATTACACTCATTTATTATTCCTACTGCCTGTAT